TTTTTTTATAGCATGTACTACCTACACATGATTTTTTAGCCCTTGTTTGAATTTCATTTTGAAGAAAAAATGTATTTTAAAATAGTGATTTTTTGAAAATTTTGTAGTTGAAAAATAAGAAAAAATCATCAATTTACATCTAATATTATTTTATTGAGGATTATGCAGTTATTTCTTCTCCCTCTTCTTCTATTTTGTTACAATTAGAAAGAAAAGTGTTCCTGCTATCAACTAATCGTAAATTTAGCTTCTCCTTTATTCATTTTTTTTGCACAATTGCTTTTCTTTCTTGATTAATCGAATATTACCCGCATTTATGATTTTACATTACAAACAAATTTATCTGAATGTTTTTTTTTTTTTTGTATATTATTTTTACATGGGTCCATTGATTAACCGTCGGGCCCTTGTACAAAAATCGGACCAACCCAATATTATAGATAGGCAACTCATGAACCAGCCCAATTCTGTTATGGGCCGATCCATTTACTGGTGGGCTTTGCTGGGCTGAGCAACCCCATCCATTTTGACATATCTAACCGTCTAGATGACGTTAATGTGACATTAAATTATAAGTGAAATTAAACAAATTATTTAATTCCAACTTTTATTTAGTTTATCATTTAGCGCCACCTAAATTGTGGTTGTAATCCAGTGGGGCTACATAGTATTACTAGTAGAAAAAAAGAGTTTTGAATTACTAGATCTATTAACAAATATATAGGCAATATTTTCGAATAAAAGTCAAAATAATTTATTCGTGACGGTCTTCACAATTAGCAATAATCATTTTGATATATTTGTCGATTGATCTATGGTAAGGAAGACTATAGGGTGGGACATTGTCAATGCAACCGTAACCATTCTGTCTTTCGAAAGATGAGGTTGGGACGAGTTCGGGAGCGGAGCAGGTGGGATGGGGATTAAAAAGTTCCCACTTAATAAATTAATTACTATTTTTATATATATTTTTAAGTTTTTTGAATACATTTTAATTGAAAAACAAAAAAATAATGTAAATTTAATAAAATAAATATTCCCATCCCATTTACTATTAGGGGTGGGGCAATGTGAGGGAGATGGGACGCGAGAAAAAATTGCCATCCATAATTCATGGTAGATTCAAGTTCAGCATCGACTGCTTCAATTCAAGCCTTCTGAAAAGTGCAATGCTCTTTGCAAAGTATGAAATTCATTTTTCACCAGACGTTAGACTTCTTTTTTCTGAAGTGCTCTCTTACTATGTCTGTGTAACGTTAAGAGACCTTAATTTTTAGTGAGTTTGTCTCACATAGTCTGTAGTGCAAAAATGCATTTTCAAACAACTATTCTTTCTTAACTCAGAAATATTATCAACATCCATTTAGTAATTGCTAAAATAAGAGAAAAATAAGTATGCAATAAGATTATTATCAACTCTTTTAAAGTTTAGTTCTATTCAAATTGAATATCATAGAACAAAATTTAAATATTCAGTGTATCTATATATCAATTAAAATGGTGTATAATGCAACTTGAACATGTATTTCCAAAACCATCTATACAAATTCGATGATTCTTGAGAGAGAAGTAGGTTAAGATTGAGACGATAACGAGATTAAGTAATTTCTAACAACGAAATAAAGAGTTAATTTTTTAGCCATGGTCACTAGAGTTTGTGATAAATTTTCAAACTGGAATTAAAGTAATTTCTTTACATTTTTAGTCACTCAAGCTTGTAACGGTTACGATAGTGGTCACTCGACTTGAATCGTGAAAAAGATATTTACGTGTCATCATTAAATTTCATTTTGGACATAAATGACATTATTTTGTACGCCATATGAGACAAAACTGTATCCATAATTAGAAACACTAATTTTCTAAACATGTTTACACTCGTTGCCCATGGACATAAACGACATAATTTTGTAGCCACGCAAGACAAGATTGTGTCCCATTAATTAGAAGCGTTAATTTTATAAAACATTTTCCTCCATCATACAATTTCTCGTCCCTAATACTCATGAACACCAAAGAAAAATCGTTTCATTGGGAAAACATGTTTGACAAAAAGTGCTTTTAATTAATGGAAAACAATATTGTCTAGCGTGACGTTCAAAATAATGTTGTTTGCATCCACGGTGAAATTTAACGGTGACACGTGAGTTTTTAGTTTGATGTTTCTAGTGTAATTTTACAGATTTGAGTGGTTGCTAGTGTAACAAATTTATATTAATGACCATTTTGATATTAATTGCAAACTTCAGTCACCTTTGCTAAAATGAACTCACGAGACCAATCATTTTGGATATTTTGGAGTTAAATGTTTCATTGGTCACTCAACTTATACATCTGTCACGATTTACTCATTGAACATATAATTTCGTCACGCTTTACTTAATTTTAAAATGCTTCCAAGTAATTATTGAACTTTACTTATTCAATTCAACTGTTCAAAAATTAAAAATTTTGAAGTATAAAATGGCATACACGAGAATGATGCCCATCTTTCCTCTTGAATTACCTTGTGACGACTCTAAAAATTGTATTTTGTTAGCATTGACTAATATGATTGTCTATAAATAAAAAATTTCATAGCATGTTTTAGATATAATTTTTATTTCTTTGATTTGGGTCTACGATCTCAATCAAAATAATTTCTCTATTTTATTTTCTCGATTTAAATGAAGATTATGATATAAATTAAGATTTATGTCAACTTGAAGTTAACATTCTTCTTTTTCCTTGAACGTAGCTTATAACAACTAGATAAATTATATATTTTTAATTAATTTCAATATTCTCGTCTTATATTGATAGCTCTATTATCTAGTTGATATATGTTTATTCTTTTAACCTAGATCGAAGTTCACAAAAAACCAACTTTACTCGAAAACATTATAAAGGCCGATAACCACTTTAAAGCATTTTTAAATTCAGCAAGTGACGTATGACGGATATATAAGTTTAGTGACTAATGAAAATGGTGAGTGATTGATGGAGTGTACTATATTAAAGTTTAGTGTTTGGTCGAAAGTATTTTAAAGTTCAGCGGATAAAGCATGATTAAAGTATACACTTAGTGATCAATCAAAAGTATTTTAAAGAGCAATGCGTAAAACGTGATGTACAAATGAACCCCATTTGATACATGTTTTTAAAAAAATTCATTATTTCAAAACTCATTTTCAATCACATTTTTCAATAAAATAATATTATACGCAAATCAAAAATATTTTCTTGTTTTTTAAACACATATTTTTCATCACATCATAAAATATATTTTTTTCTACATAACGTGCATCAAATTCTATAACAAATGAAGCATTTAATTCGATATTTTGTGATGCACAAAAACACAGCATAAGACTGGAAAAAGAATCCCCACCACCACTACCAAATTACCTGCACCTGAATCTCAGCCTCCACCTTTACTGACTGAACAATACTCTGAAGTATTCAATGTCTCTCCTACTCAATCACTACCTCTACTGTCTCCCTTCACTCAAATACTCAAAATTAACCCCAAAATCACTCCAACCTCATCCTGTATCTTTAACCTCTAAACCCAGATTCCTCTTCCCGATACGTTCCTCGTACTATTCTTACTCCTTCAATGACCCCAGTGACCCACCTTCTAGGGCGATACCCGAAGCGGGATCCGGAAATATTGATGAATCTTCCGAAAAACCGACTTTTGTCGACGAGTGGGGGGAGAAGTCGGAGCCGGAGCCCGAACCTGTGTCAAAATTCTCGGGCCCGGATCCTCCGAGGGACGAGGATGAGTGGGCCGGGAAGGACGTGGGCAACGGGAGCCCGGACGTCGAAGTGAGTGGTGGTGTGAGTTTGAAGGAAGATGGTGATAGGAAGCTTTACGAGCTGAAGAGGGCACTGCTGGATACGGTTTATGGGTCGGACTTTGGGTTCCGTGCATCTCCAGAGGTCCGGGCAGAGGCTCTCGAGCTCGTTTTGCAGTTGGAGGCCTCCAATCCGACTCCCGCACCCACCGACAGCCCCGAATTGCTCGATGGCAGCTGGGTTTTAGTGTGAGTCCTACCTTCCCTGTTATATGCTAAAAACATATACATGCGCTGCAGTTCGTATTTTGTGATTATTTGATGTCTATTCGTTGATTTGACTATAATTTATTATTTGAAAGTTTTCATTTGAAGGCTGAAAGTATTCAAAAGTTTGAGAAACTTCTAAATATCATTTGGGATAGAGAAGAGGCTCTTGTGTTAAAAAAATGTCTTATAATATGAATAAAATGAGCTTGTTTGAGTGTGATATAGAGGATGGAGATATTTTATGGTGAAATGGCTGGATGATCCAATAAAAATAAGAATAGTAATGGAGATTTAAAGAACTTGTTTGCAACATCTTTTTCTTTGTTGCAACTGTAAAGAGAGGTGGAGGTATGACACAAGTTCTGTGTGGGTTGAAGATTTTATTCACACAATAGGAAACGTTACAATCAAAATTATTCTTAGATTGTTGAAGAAAATCACTGTTGGATATATAGATGGAACATTTATTAACTATGTCATAGAAACAAACAGATTGTTATGCAAGGTATCTATATCGTAGTTTGGTATTTTTTAGGTTTTTGATATTTAGGATATGGGTTAACCCTAAATCTTTGTTTGAAGTCATCTCCCACTGAACTTGCCAGCGGTGGACTTTGTTGTCTGTGTATGTGACTTAGTTTCCTCTTAGTTGTCGAACTTAAAGGAGTGGTGATGGTACCGGAAGGTGCAAATAGAGAGGGATGGGAGTCGATGTTGCAAATGTTTCAGGCAGTTGTCGAATTTTTTGTCAATAGAGACAAAGTTAAGCGTCAAACGGCTAGAGCCAACTATCAACAAGGGAAGACATATGCTGAAATTACGGCAAACCGACAGGTCGAGCAGAACACGAAAAAGCCAGTGCTATTACAAAAGGATAGTGAGGGTCATCCTTTGATGCATAAGTTGAAGGAGAGAACGCCAGAAGGTGCTATAGACAGTCCATTGAGCAATGCTGAAATAAGGGCTCGCGTCCAGGGGTTGAAAGGTGAGGTGGATGAATTGTTGAGGTTACTGGGAGATGGCGATCTAGAGGGCTCCAAGATGATTTGCTGTCATAAGTGCG